AAATAGTTAATTTCCTGGAAACATACGCAATATCTTGATTATAAAAGAATTTTTGAGGCATTGGTATGTACAGCCTGCGGGTTAGATCCACCATGCGATGCTCAAAGCGTGAATGAAAAAAGTCTTTCTACATCGAAAGCTTTTACAACGACAACTGATAAAGAACTAAGCGGTCCGTAAACCAGATATAGATGTCCTTAACCAGAGAGATAGATGCGAACGCTCGGCGCAGCCAATGGTTTTTGTCTCGTTCTTCCACACTAAGGCACATTCGTGCAATCTTCATGTTCATGAATGACGTATGTGCACGTCGAGCAGTTGCTAGAATAAAATAAAAATTTCATAAGAATTATATTTGTTATTGCGTAGTTGAATTTTCTTTACGCAGAGATATGATGTCTTTCTAATTCGCTTGAAAACACACTTCGTAAATTCCCCATTTACCGAAACACAAAGTAGACGGTACTCGGCATCACCAGACAATTGAGGCGTGCATTGGGCCAAGCAGCTATATACTTTTAGTTGAGCTTCTAATAAGTAGCTTTATACTTTCCGGGCCTTATATGCAGATTCTTGCGAGGCTAAATACAGTTGGGCGAGCCCGATCACTGGAAAGACAGAGATTGTGATTGAGATATTGCACATCACAAATCTACGAATAAAAGCTTCCATAGATAACCGACATATATAACCGAATTAGTGGTAAATCGATGAGTTATTGTAACGACCGCTGTAGTGCTACTTTTTTACAAGGCAGTAGCCAATGCAGGTGAGACACCACTTTCCACAAAAAAGTGTCAAAGAAAGCACTTTGAAATTCGCTGTTTGTCAAGGTGGACTGAAGCAAGTCTGTTCGAATTTCCCCAGAAGGAAACTATAGGTCGGCATGGGTGCAGTCCACCTTTCAACAGCCAAGTTTGTGGTGCCTGCCACTGTTGTCCGTGACATTCGAAGCTGTCAGAGGGCAGCGCGTTACACTTCCTACTCTACGCTGTATCCAACTGAGTCATAAGCCGACGGAACTATTGGCTGGGACGCCTAAGCTGTACCGTCACTAGAATGTACGAGTGATTCAATATTACGCAGTGGAAACTACTCCTACACGAGGAAATTAAAACTGAGACGCGACGAGAAATGATTTGGTAATGGATTAGCAACGGTGTGATAATGAACACGAATGTAGCTTTTTACGATTGCCTCAAAATTGTTGAATGGCGATTTCATCGGCTTCATCGTGTTAACCACATACTTGATTCGCCTAACCTCCAGCTCCATCGTTAAAACTGCGCGCGAATAACGATAACATGGTTCGAGTATGAAAAGAACTGAAAACTTTCCCTTAAGTTAAGAGATTGACGGCGCACAATGGTAAATCAACAACTTAATTGTATTTTATGATTCATTCCATTGAGAAGCGACACCAAAATCTTTCTTGGAGCTAAAAAAAAAGACGCTTGCCGATTTATTTCAGATGAAATGAGGATACATCGATAAAAAAACCTTATTACAAGGATTTTCGTATTTTACTCCAGGTAGAGAAGTTAACACGAGCATATGAGTTTCGCCTCGCGCGCCGACACTCATCACAATTGTACATAGCAAGGCTTCTTGCATCATGTGTAGTCGAACAGCCTTCAAAGAGTGAGCACTGAGCACTGCACTCCCCGAAGTCCTTCCCCACACACTCCCCTCCCCACACACCTTATGTTCACCTTCACCTTGCACACCTTCCACTTCCTTGATGGCTGTTGCTCCTATATGCTGCTACATGGCGTCCACCCTTATTATTTCAATTCTATGCTCGTTATTGCGTCGTTTCTTTAGGCGCATTCTCATCACAGAACGTTTATGAAGTGAGATGAAGTGATTTCACTATTAGTACAAAGAAACCGATAAGCCGCTGCTCATATAATTTCATGTCTGATCGTGAATTATTTGGTACTTCTTTCTGTTTCCATTGCGAATAAAATAGAAGGACCAACATTGATAAAAACAAGGAATATTACTTTCGCTATAGCATTTACGCCGCAAGACTTCCGAGCGTCCTTCATATCACCTTGAGCTACCACAGCTTTCTCCTGCGATAAGACAACTAATGCAGTCCTATGGTGCGTTTCAAAGGATAAGTCACAGGATGAGACTCTATTAGAGGATGGTAAATTCTAGCGAGATAACCGGTTACTTGATTTGCACTGAAAAGATACGATCAAGAGCACAAAAGCTCCAACAAACCAAGCGCAGTTAAGAGTGTAGGGGCTGGTCGGTGACGCCATGAGTATCAGGTATGGGCGACAACGCTTGACTTTCAACAAGGAAGGTATGCGGCACAAAGCTTCCTAAGAAACGCTTCGCAAGAGAGGAGATACGAGAAAAATACAGACAGTGATGATTATTGCTTCGATTAAAATTAAAAAATTACAAACAAAAAGTATTGATAGATGTTGGATTTTTCCTGTTAGTTACAGACATCACGAGAGATCAATCGTGTTGAGAAAATAACACAAGTTTGATGGAAAAAGAAACATGACTAGTACCTATACCTACACCCAATTGGAAAACATTATATAAAATAATTTGCAATTATTGATAGCCGCTTCTTCCCAATCTGCTGCAGGCAGACGATGTGAGATACAGGCTTAACAATAAAAAACGTGACACGTTGCATGCGACGGCGAACGTACGCCATGCACGTTCGCGCGCCATGCACGCCATGTACGCAATGCCGCGCTTAAACCTTGTGATAGGCCAAAGAAAAATTCCAGCGATCATATGAGGCGCGTTTTCCTAATGGTTTACAAGGATCTTGATGCGTAGTTAAGATTCTCACATCAGATACTATGCTTAAAAAGATTTTAACCTCAGATCGAGTACTTAGTCGCCACACTCTCTCAATATTTCCCATTAGGGGTTAAGAAGAAACTGGCCTCTCATTTAAATAAAAAAAATTGTCGATCTGTATTCAAAACCACAAGAAGTTTTGAGCCTCATCTCTACTCATGTGTTAACAATAGAAGCCAGGCAGAGTCGAAAACCGTTCATATGAGGGTACTTCATTTAACGAATCAACTATTCCACCATTGTAAATTTCCTCTCAAACTGTCGTCTTAATTGTTAAGCATCAAGATGACAGCGTAGCGCCTAGACGGCTCATAGCCTCGCTAGTCGCTAGTCCTACAACGGCTGCTCTGCGCTTTGTCAGAACGTGCTATATGGGATCACCTGCTAGAATGTTCATATAATATGCAATAATGAAAGTAAAAGCTACGGCGAAATAATATTTTAACCTGCAATTAATGAACACTATTTAGCAATGGAAATGAAAACACAATTTTTACGCGAATACCTAATATGTGAAATAAATAGAAAACGCTCGATACTAGATCGAAAGCCTAAATATTCTTCATTTCTAAATAAATTAGAACTGGGTAATTCAACTTCAATTATACACAACTTAATACAAATTGCAACACCTGCTTGCCGAAGTTGCAAATCGAGAAAATTATTTATACTATGCAAGAATGGTGACCTCAACGCAGCACAGAAAAAGATCCATGGCTTGAGATTTGCGAGAGGTGCTCGGTTACAATGTAATGTTACAATGTAATGTTACAATGTAATGGCTGACTACGCATACATCGCTGCCTGTGTTTTTAAAAGTTATCACAAAATTTGCGATCCACTGAGTGAGCTTGACTATTGAACGATCAAACGCGTTTTTTTTTTTCAAGATTACGGATGATTAACACGCGTACGCATGATCCTGATTCAAATACACGCTGACATATTCAAAGCCAGGAAAATAAAAGCAACGGTATATGCACGTGAGAAACTTCATGGGTCAAACAGCCAAAAATGAGACGCATATTCACAGGGAGTGAATGCATGGACACGCGGACAGGCACCCGTCTTGTGGTTCAGGGGCCAGACTTTCAAAACTCGCTAAGTGAACGTAAGTACTTACGCTCTATTTTCTTGTCTATGATTGGATATTGCTCGAAAGGCCGTCAATGATTGGCTGATGAACTTACGATCTCTTAACTTTTTTGAAAGTATAGGCCCAGGTTACGATTAGGCCAAGTTATTAACTATACGATTCTAGTGCATTGCGTTAAAGTAACGATCTTTATTATTGACACCGCTTGATTAAAGGGAAGCCAAAATTGAATAAGATATAAGATAAAATAATGAATATTGACTATAGTATTTTAAAATTATCAAAAGCCTTCTGGGGCCGAAATACAGGGCGAGGAAGAACAAATTGTCATTCGAGTCAAATTACGCATTCTGTTATAAATTATTACGCTCTGTTATAATGTGATTAAATAAACAAGCACTTGGATGATTTAGCGCATTTGAAGATGGCAGCGGGTCGTGGCAAGCACGCTTCCAGTGCACACAAGTTGATCTATGGAGCGAGAAATTGGCTATTGCTGCTCCTATATGCCGAAGACTGGAGCAAGCGAGCGAGAAGGGAGAGCCAGCGATGCACAACCTAAGCTACAAGGCATCACGCGCAGACAAGGCAAGGCTCGCAGCACCTACCTACAGTGTATTGAACTCCTGCCGGAAGCTCCAAGCTTATTGTGCTCACACACGTCGAGTCGTCACGTCAACAAGTCTATTTGTTCTATAGTTGTTGAAGATACCTTTAATTTAATGACTAGATTCGACTTAAGAAATGATAATTTGTATCAGAGGTCTCAAATGAAACTTATATAATGTATTGTTTTATGTGTGAAATTTATCTGGTAACAATTCGTTTTTGAGCGCAGTAATTTATTGATACTAGCTCATAAATTATTATAAAAGGTCATATATACATTAATCTTACCATATTTTCGGAAAAAAACACAACATCAATATCTTTAAAATAAATAGGAACGCAAGAGTGCATCACCTAACAACCACAAAAGAGGTAGGGACAGAGAGCAGAGGCTAATGTCTAGTACAAATAATGCAAATCATTGACAGATACGCGACAACGAGCAAGTATTACTCACCATTGGAATGCGTGGAAATAGAAATATACGTGACCCTGGCCGTACAGGAACGTCGGATTTTTCCAATAGTCGTCGGGTCGTAGATTGTAGTACTTCTGGTACGCCGACATGGCTGCAAACATAAAAAAACAACATTAATATATTCATCTATCGAAACATACAAATGAATTTATATATAAAATATACGAAATCAATATAGGTACTAATATACTGGACCATGAGCTAAGAGCACTTATACAAAACTCTTAAATCAGCAACGCAGGTAGGCATCAGCCAATTAAGCAAGAACAATAGCAAGAAGATGGCGCTATAGGCCCAATATGTTGCGAAACATGGCCTCAACTGATGATGCTGAAGGGTTCTGGGTGATGATTCTCACAGGAAGACTAACAAGTGTTCTTGCAGACACTTTGTAATCCTCATATACTGACAATCGCATAATTGAGAGACACTAACGGTCTCAAAAGAACAGTCAAAAGTATATGAGTAATTTCTGATTGAGTTCATACGGCAGCAATAACGAATTCAAAGTTCAGAATAGTTCATTAGATCATAGTTATTTGAGCTGAAATTCCAATTCAAGTTAGTCCAATTATTCACTAAAGTTTCCGCAACAATGTTTGGAATTGTTGTCATGAGCAAGTGAAGAAACATTTTTTTCTAAAATATTTATACAAAAGAACTTTGGACAATCAGCACAGAGTTAAGGAAATAAAACACATGTTCAATGCAGACGGCCGGGGATTACAGCTGTACAGTATTAATTATTAGATCTAAGCAATCAATTTTAACCTTTTGTCTTTCTTTGTTCCTTCTTCACACTCATTGTGGCCATTAAACTTCATAAATGTGCTCGAGGCTCAATAAATAAAGCCCGTTAAACATTAGAATGATCGATATCGGACCATGGTACCAGGCACGCTGTGTCGACCCTGACCTCTCTCTGCACCACACGCCTGCGTGTCTTTAGGTAAGCTCACCTGCGCTCTACCGCAACACGCGGGCGAGCAACACACGTGCTTGTGATATGTTCTACGCATTGGTAGTCTAGCTGCACACCTAGTGTTTGTTCTTCAAACTATTTTCATCATGTAAAAAAACAACATGTAAAGACGGAAATAATTTACCCACACATGATAATTTTGCGATGGAAATCATAGAAGTCAGATTTTGTCTCCCATTTCACAAACAGAATCACCTTAGCCGTGTCTAATATGATCGTATAGAAAGAACGATACATTTTATAAGTATCTAAATCTCAATTGTCTTGATATGCGACCCATAAAGCACACAAATATAACCACGAATAATACTCATGTCCGTGAACTTCCTGATGCAGAATGCAGTGGAAGAACGTGGGTGTACTAGCGCACGTACGAGGACCTTGCAAGTCTGCAATTGAATATCTTGACTTTCGACAACCTCTTCAGATAAATAGAATAAATTCTACCAGCGGATGCTAGTTCACGCTTCAATGAAGCTCATGAACTTCTAGCAGACGCAAATTGTTAAAGAATTTGTAAATTACGTTCAACAATGCAGGCTTTCAAAAATGTCAACAAGTTTGGATTAAGGTAACTATTTCACTCACTCGAAAGTTCTAACCAATGATTAAAAAATGAGGCATTTTAGCCAAATGTCACAGGTGAATAAAAGCAGACACGAACGTACTTCCGCTTTAATCTAATCAGAGTGACCAAACTCTTTCCGCTTCCAAGTCAGACTTTCTCGAGGACATTCAATAACAAAAATCAAAATAACCGAACTTGAGAGGACTGAGGTGTCAATTAGTAAACACGAACTAACATCACCACATCACACTGCATTCTAAGTAGTGTTTGCTTAGAAAACTAAACGAAAAAAATCATCTAAGTTTTGAAATGGAAAGCCTTACCCAGTTTTTGTCTACGGACACATTAACAGTTTTCAATGCTGTTTGTACCTACAGGCTTGTGGGGTAGCGAAAGATGCCGTCAGCAGAAAGTAAACACGAGTCCTGTCAGTGCTACCTAATAATATTTGATATAAGTTTTGCCCAAATATACGAAATGCGTAAGGAAACGAATACTCAACACTCATAAAAGTAGGAAATAATTTCTGATTCGATGACTGCAAAGCAATACGTTAATTTCTTTCATTCAAGTTTGAAGAAGTACTCGCCTTAACTACAACAACCGCAAGCACATCAAAACCAAGTCTGACCATATATCTCCTCTACAAAAAATAACACTGAAATTTATTGAAATCATTGGTTGACTCATGCTAAGCCATCAAAAGGACTCCTCTCAGAACTTTCTAAAGCGAGACCTTGGGTCTGTGTGCGAGTTGCATCACTCGTTTTCCTGGTGCGCGACCAGAGCCAGGACGAGCAAGCTCTACGCACGGCTGAGGAGGTCCCAAGCATGTATCTCTGGGCCAAGGTTACAACCAAACTCCACGGCTCCGATGCCCATGCCTTATTTGGTGTACACGCAGCCTAGGGGGCCGCTAAGCTGCAGGCTTTCAGCACAAGGTCGCTTTTGAATGCGTTGTAACGAGGAGCCTGTTAGCCCATGACTTAATTATATCCCGTCTATTTTCAAGTCCATGCATTCTGATAGCCGACTAGTGCCCACGGAAAAATCCGCACACAGACGAGTTTAACGAAACTTCAATTCAAGGCTACGAGCGTTTTTTCTATAAACGTTAAAAATTAAAATCATGGGTAAAGTTAGCAAGGTCTCCGGGTTACCTCTGTAAACTAAATTGCCTGATCAGCGAGTATAAAATCTTTTTCTACCAAATTCAATCAATCCTTCAGACTTGCCGGTCCAAGAACCTCTTAGTTTTTTGTTATGCATATGTATAGAATCAACCAACATCTCACAGATCATACAGAAGATTAAAACAATCGCCATACCTGCGAGGCACGTCTTACAAAGAACTTAACAATTTAACCCACATAAACCTAATTATATATGAATTGTTATTGCACTAACAACGTGAAATGCATTAACAACCCAGAAGCGCAACTTAAAACTAACGAATTGGAAATTTATTCGCGTATCCAAGTAGCAGCGAAACATTCTAAAAGCGTCCATAGGAATGAGAAAGCACGAGTTCCCACGGAGCAGAAACGAGACAACGCCACACTGACTAGGTGGTGAAGTGCATAAAAGGACCACATCAACAACGGTAGTTTCACCTTTACATAAATCCTTCTGCTAAATGCATTTTACGGATATTCTGAGTTCCCTCGTCGAACAAACACGATTGAATTTAACTCAAGTATGAAGCCACCACCTCCACCATGGATTTTTGGCAGCAGATTTTGCATCCAAAAACCAAGTTGAACATTTCATCACTATTGAAGCGTTTACCGGTTCTTCAAACTATTGTATCAATAGTGTGACCATGAAAAAACGAATAAAACGGGTTATTTTGAACGCCACCGTCACAATCCAAATAAGTATCAAAATTTCTATGTTAAGACGATAAGGAATAAACTATACTGAGGGCAACGCAACGCATGCACCAGGACAGGCCGGCAACAAGAAGGAAGGTCCCGGCGAGCGCTCAGAGCATCGGTTGCGACGCCAGTAACTCCAGCAGCAATTCCCACGTTCACAGTTTACCGGCGCTGCTGCATGGAGCAACACGCAGCACCGGCATGTGTATGAGGTCCTTGAACTCGGGGTACAACTCGAGCGCTTCTTGCCTGTCAAGGTGCCAATGTGACACCACCAGAGTAGCAGCAAATTATTAAGTACCTATTTCATATAACCGACGACAGAATACCATAAATTCATCATACATAATTATGAGGCCTTTAATAAAATATTTTAGAGGTTAACATAAAGTTATTCCAGAGTATTTTATAAAATAACCCTTTTAATAACACGATAGCATTTTAATACATAATAACACTATAAAGTGTTCAACGACAATTTAAAAGTACATAAGACGCAAAGTAAATTCACCTTTTCTTCATTCATCATATGGTCACTTTAATAATAATGAAGCCTTAAATGATGAAGCCCTTTTAATGAGTTATTAATATGAAGCCGTTCGAGAATAATAAAAAAATTATTCCGGTGCATTTCTTAAAATAATACTTTCAATAAAATTAAATTGATTCATCTCCTTTAATAAATTATTTTTTTCATTATTATATTTATATGAATTCAAAAGTAAATAATCGCGAGAGCCGTAGTGTGCTCCGGGACTTCAGATTTTCAAAGCAAAGACATGAAATTTATGACGTCAAGTTTTGCTACTCAACATTCAGTCCATCGATTCTTCGAAAAATATTCAACCCGAGGATCGGATTGAGCCCCACACACTCCGAGTGCAAGTATCATCTTTATTCCAGCGACTACAAGAAACTTCTACGACCTCAGCTGCAAAATAGCACAGATAAGAAAACAAAAATAAAACTTAGGCTTTGACTACCGGGATAAGAACGATGCATAGGACAGGACGGTCGTAACTTAAAGGCAAAGGATAAATACTTCCATCGATTTCAGGTGAGAGATAAGCACTGCAATGTAATGCAATAACCACACCCTGACGCTACGAGGTTCCAGCTGCAAGGAGCAACGTCTCACTTTACATCAGCATTCCTTAGCAGGTGTACGAAGCAAGAAAACAGCGATTAGAACTACCGATATTGAAAAAATAAGATGAGGAAAAAGCAAGGAGATGAAGAAGTAATTAGTTAATTTGATGCGTGAAAAAGTGGCGATAACTTGAAGAAAATAAACTCCGGCGATAACCTCAGTGGAAAAAAATCATATTTAACTATCTACCGATATCAAAACAAAATTGGCTGAGGTAAAATCAAAGAGATGAAGAAATTATTTAATTTTATGAAGTCAAGTAACCGGCAGGCATTGAGTTACGGTTATTTGAAATCTGCTTCTCATTTGACATCTGCCTCGAATTGATTTAACTTCTCAAAATCGCTACTTCGGACAGCAAGGAGTTCCTAGTACGCATGTTATCTTTTAACCGGCAGGCATTGAGTTACGGTTATTTGAAATCTGCTTCTCATTTGACATCTGCCTCGAATTGATTTAAATTCTCAAAATCGCTACTTCGGACAGCAAGGAGTTCCTAGTACGCAAGTTATCT